AATTTGAGGCCAATCTGGGCAACATAGTGAGGCCCTGTCTCAAAATTTAAAACAAAAAGGAGACTATGCTTTGTTTTGATAAGGGAGCCTATCGCCTCACACCTATTCTCTGTGCGAAGCCAAGTTGGCCTGCCTTCCCCCTCTCCAGGACCACCTTACCTTCAAGTAGAGACTATGGAAACCACAGGGGTCTGTCTTTACAGCACCCCTCAGTGACCAAAGGTAACAGAAGTTATTCCTGGTAGTGGACCAGTTCCAGCTAAAGAAAATGCCAGAGCAGTGACTCTCAGTGCACAACTGGCTTTGAACTCAGCTTAACTGCAGCGGCACAGCACTGGCCGGGAATCTCAGAAAGCCATGTTCCTGGCTTCTAGGCCAAGGCCTTACTGTCATCGACTTGCCGCACTTTGATGGGCAGATTGAACACATGCTCAGGCTATCACCAGCATGAGTACAAGAGAGATGGGGAGGAGGGGAGAAAGAATCTAGTAGGAAAGCTATGTTAATTTCAACATGCAAGTGAGTCTTGAGTCATTTCAAAAAAAAAGTAATGTTTTACTTGAAAGTTTCTATTCCTTTCATTTAGGATTACATATGTGGAAGCCCTAAAATCTTTACAGCACTCGGGGCTACTAAAGGTCTTGATCCAGCTGGGTGACTTTGAACAGGTCCCTTCCTCTTTTGGGCCTGAGTTGTCAAATGCTATGATGCACGCAATGATTAGTTGACTGAACTGTTAGTGTTATATCATGTAAATAAACTCACCCAAGCCAGAGAAGTATAGAGAGGGTGACACAAATGTTTCCTGCTGAAACCTAATCAACTTCATCAAGATCAAAATGGAGCCCAAGAACCATAACTTGACTCTTCTCTGATTATTTTACTATTCTGACCCCTTGACATTTTTATCACTTTAGTTGTTCATGTCTCTAATAATGGGCAAGATTAAGGTTCTTGTTTCCAAAGTGGAAGAAATCCTAGTGGATATTTTGGTGTAAAAATTTCCAGAGAAGATATTTTCAGCACATGGAAATATGAAGCAGACCAGGAATTTCATGGTATTTAAAAGAAAATGGAGGGGCTGGGGAGTTAGCTCAGCGGCACAGTGCCTGCCTGGCAAGCACAAAGTCCTGAGTTCGATTCCCGGTTCCAAAAAAAAAAGGAAACGAAAAGAAAACAGAAAGTGGAGAAAAAAGAAAAGAAAGAAAATGTGTTCGTTTCCCCTCCCTCTCTTGTCAACTGTCCCAAGGGCCTCTGAGGATGAAAGGTAGGACAGAGACCAAATGAATCCTAGCAAAGTGTCTGTCCCAAGTCCCAAAAAGATCCTCCAAGTTCCATCCAACTCAAGAGGCCACCTCCCCTCCTCCGTATATTTTTTCAATTTTTGCTTTTTATTAGTACATGTTTACATAGTGATCACATTTCTCACGGGGAGTTGGTACATGTACATAACACATCTCAGTTCTTTTTTGCATCTCCTTCTCCTCCCCTCTGTCCCAATCCCGTCCGCTTTAGCAAAGATGGTCATGCTCAGCGTGTACACACCTCATCTAGTGGCAAATTATCTGCAGTCTGAAGATGCAGTTTTCACTTTTTCACCTCCATGTGGATTTATAACAGTCTCCTCTAACCTTAGAATTATGACTTAAACATACATAAACCAGCTGTCCTTTCTGATTTGGAGCCAGGGTTGCCACAAAGTTGGAAAATCAAGAGATAGGAATTTTATGTAAAGATGAAGAGGGAGTTTCCACCATGGACCCTACTAGCTGTATTCAAGCCAAAACAATTGCAAGCAGCAGAGCATCTTTCCCACAGCAAGTTCATGCGCTAGTGTAAAATGATAGCTCTCCAGTGTTATTAAACATACAAACAGTCATCTAGTGCTTCAGTGACTTCCTAGATCTCAAAGGAGATATTATACCCCTAGGCTGATGGCCTGATTGCTTTTGTAATTATCATCTAAACACCTACAAACATTAAATAGATCTCAAAGGGAGGAGTTGGAAAGCTTGGATTGACTCAGCATATGGCAGCAGGCATGGAGTTATTTCCCACTGGTTTTGGCCATACCATTCTTGAGATGAAATGCACAGAGTACAGGCCATAGATCAATAAAACGGTAGCGTCCAAAGCCGGATGTGGGGGGAAACTCAATTCACAGGTAGTACCATGCCTAGGGTGTGGCAACTGCTATAGATCCAGAACCACGGAGGCCTAATGCAGTCCTGAGTGCATGATTTCCCCTTCTATCCCCAACCCCCATTCCATGCCAGTTATAAGAGCTTCTAGGGCAGTCTCAAAGGGGTTCAAGTTACCAAAGACCAGCCTTCGGTGGCTGAGAGGGTGTTGCCAGGCAATGAGGCCAGCCCCGTCCCACTCCTGTAACCTTGAAGATGGTGGGGGCATGACCTGTGATAGCAGAGGATCACTTGGACTCCTTATCATCCACTTTCTCTTCTATCTCCTTTTCCTCTCCCTGTCCTCTCTCTGCTGCTTCCTAAGGTCCCAACCCCGCCATCAAGCTGCAAGTGTGGCATGCCACTATTCAGCCCCTCCATGCCAGCCAAGTTGTCCCTGCAGGGAAGCTACAAGCTGTTGTCCTGTCAGCTGTCATTCACTCAGGCCATGTTGCTCCCAAACCTTCCTTGCTCTATCCCTGCCCTCATCGTTGAAAGAAATAGCTAGAGGAAGAACATAGGGGGAAATTCAATCAGATGGAAGATACATAGGGTAAGGTGTTGATCAGAAGTGCTGACCCCCAGCAGAATAGTCAGTCAAGGAGTGGAAGTACCAGCAGGAAAAGACAGTGGGAAGAAGAAAAGGCAAAACCTGACTATGTCTACATGTTTGCTTGTTTGTTTGTTTGTGGTCAAAACTGAATATTCAGCCTGCTGGACACCTTGTTGAAGCTTATGCATAAGCAACAAGGGAGTGCCAGATGGTACACTGTTATACTCCCCAATTCTCTTTCCACTTGGCACTTATGCTCAGACCATTGCTGAGAAGGCCTAATCTAAGTGCTATGCCATCACAACTCCCGAAGAGAAAGGTATGCACTAGGAACCTCAAGGGGAGTCTAGGGTAGAGCATCAGATTAGAAAATGGAAAATCTGACCCTTTGGCCAACTTAAGAAAGGTAGCCATGTTCCGTTTATGCAGCAGTCCCGGGGGGGGGGGCGGGGGGAGCACTCTGAGCTGAACAGCATGTATATTCTCAAAGGTAAAGGGTCATGCTAAAAATGAGAGATGACCACTCTCCCAGCTCTTGCACACTTCCAAGAAGCCAAACCAATGGCAATTTATATTAAGAATTGTTTCTTCCCTTAAAAGACATCTATTGCATAAACCCATCTCTTTTTAGCCATAACTGGAAAGGGCGAGGGCCATAGGCAACGGTGAAGCCATGTCTTCCCTCCCATGGAAAGGGCTGGCTGATTCAGTGGACACAAAGGTAGAAAAAGCAGAGCCTCCTCCCTGTCCTGGACTTGTCCTAATGCAGTCAGTGGGTGGCTTTCTGAAAACAGGGGTTTTGGAAACTATTCTCCAAGCTGTCTTATCAAATTTCTCCTAGACTAATCCTGGTAATCAGTGAGAAACAAACCAAAAAAGAAAGACCTTGTTACCCTCTTTGTTAACTGAGAACTAACCAGACGTAGGGCCCCAGCTTTCCTGGTCCCCTGCCTTGCAGAGGCTTCTGACTCCGCGTCCATATTGCAGCTGGCAGTCATCTGCGTCTTCCACTTTCCTTTTCTCATAGGGGGCATTTCATTTTTCTCCACCAAAGGCCTCTGCCATCTACCTTTAAGGACAAAGACCTTTAGGAAGATGGGGGGCCAGTGCCTCTGATTGTAGTCCTTCTGAAGGGGTGAGGTCTGCAATGGACAGGGCCTGACCCACGCAATTCTTTCCCCAGGCAGCTGGAGGCTTGCACCCAAAAGTCAGCCAATAGCCACCTTCTGCCTCCGTCTAAGACTTTCTGGTCACACTGTTCCTTCTCTCCCCTAACTTTCTGGAGACACCAACTGGCCCTGGCTCCTGGCCTGTTGCAGCTGTGGTTAGCATTTCCAGCATATTCAGTCCCTTTGCTTTCAGCGTAAGTCCCACACTCTAAGGGGGCGCTGCATTTCTACAGAGAAGATCCTCCACTCAAAATACCGGGATCCAAATCAATAAAGGCTAAGGGCCCGCGCTGTCTGCCTACCCTCTCACTGATCCTGTGGGCTCAGCGAGGGCACCCCTGAGACCTGGCGTTTCTCAGGCACAGCTGCTTCCTAAAGTGAATGCACTTCAGGAAACTAATGACAGTTCCTTGAAATGGTTCTCTCCAGCAAATCTGTGCAGCCGGACCTTAGCGGCAGGGGGTCAGGGAAGCCCACGGCAGTTTCCCCTCCCCTCAGCTGGCCACTCCCCAGCGCAACGGCCCAGAACGTGCTGGGAGAAGCTGGCGGGAGAGCGCTCAGATGCTCCTGGGAGTGCGAGCCGCATCCACGCTCCAGTGCGAAGTTGCACACGTTCAAAGGCGGTAAACACCGCCGCCCGGCTCCTGCCGCCGAGTAGGTAGCGGGCGGCTCGAGAGCGCTTTCCGAAGTGGTCAGAGTTCCCGGAGCCAAGCAAAGACGCCGCCGACGCGGCCATTCGGCTCCCGACGCCACAATGATCTGGACGCCTCGGTGCTGAGGGCGGCGCCGAAGCGTCCCGGACCTTGCGGGTCCTCCCTCTCCCCCCCGCCCCAATCCCAGGAGGCGGCCGCCAAGTCCAGAACCAGCCCCTCTGAGGGCACGGGGCCACTCAGGACAGCGCGACCAAGTCCAAGAGCAGGAAGTTGCAGTGTTAGGTTAGGGCGTCTGGGAAGGGGTTCGAGGAAACGTTATCCCCTCACTCCGCAGGAGAGGAGGGGCAGGGAGAAGCGGGGAGGGGTGGACCCGGAGCGGCGCGCCGGCTGGCACCCCCAGAAGCGGGGCAGACGCGGGGCCGCGGGCCGGCGGCGCGCACTTTACCTAGCTCTCCGTCGTCCTCTGGGCCGAGCAGGCGGCAGGGAAGGCGGCGGCGGAGGCGCACAGTGCGCCGGTACAGGCTGTCGGTGCGGCATCCCAGGGCCAGCAGGTGCCCCTCTAGGTCCTCGAGCAGAGCCAGCGAGTGGCCACAAAGGTCCGCGAGCTGCCGGAGTAGGTTGAGCGCGGCCAGGTGGCTCACGTCGCGAAGCTCCGCCAGCGGCTGCGGCGGATTGCGCGGGCACAGACGCTGGGGCACCACCGTGCGCCGGTAGAACGGCATCCCGGGCGCGGGCGCAGCGGACCAGCCTGGCGGCGCGGCCGGCTCGCCGGTACAGGCGCCCCTGACCCGAGGGCCCCTGAGCGGCGGCCCCGGCTCCGGGTCTAGCAGGCCCCTGGGCGTGGACAGGCGAGCGAGTGGGCGCCAAAGACGCCGGGCGGGTGGGCGGGCTGATGGGTTCACAGCCTAGAGCGCCGGTTCCCTCCCCCCTCCCGCCCCGGGGCTGCACTCTCGCCGGAGCCACCAGTCCCTCTGACTGTTTTGCTGGGCTCCTCCTCCTCCTCCCTTCCTTTCTCCTCCTCCTCCTTCTCACTCACTCTGCTACTTCGGGATCCCCCCCACACACCTTTTTTTTTTCTTTTGCGGTCAGAGATTCGCAGATTAACGCTCGATCCTAGAGAGGAGGGAAGTAGAAGCAGAAAGAGCTGGAGCGTGAAAAGAAGGAAGGGGAGGCGGTGGTGATGTTCAAGGCAGGATGTGTGCCAGCGTGCTCCTTCCTCCTGCGGAGCTCCAGGTACTGATGGTCAAAGTTGTTCGCTTTTAAACTTAAACTTTTTCTTCCTAAGTACTGAAGGCTGAACCGCGTGGGAGCCTACATCAGCAAGTAACTGTCAGAGACTGACCGGCCGACTAGTCTTCACGTAGCGTTGGTGCCTCAAGCATATACCCTGTGTCATGCACCCAACTAGATTAGGCTGTGAGTAGAAAAGCCCAAGAGCTTGGAAATAAAGAGGAAAGAACCAAGTATCCTACTCTTCTGCTCCGGAGGGAAGTCTCTCTGGGGAGTCCCACAGTGCCTGGACTTCTGTAAAGCCATTGGAAGGAAGGATTGCAAACAAACCCATTTTATGGAATAAGGGCACTACTTCATACTTTTATGCAAAAAAGGAATTCAGAGCTGCATCCTTGTGGTGGAGGCTGCCGGCTGGAACAGACTTCATGTCTGGCCACAGTGGGCTCCTGAGGTGTCCCAGAGAAGGGGCTATACAAGAACTGGGGTGTGCTTCAGTGCTGCCATTCTGTCATGTTCCGATTTCTTCAATTTTACAAGGTAGAAAAGAGATGACCTTGTCACCCTCAGAAAATCAAAGTGCCTAAGTGTCTGTGCACTTGGGGAGTTTCTCCTTAGAGCACTTCTTTTCTGCATACTGAGCGGGCATCTGCCTTTCCTCTAACACACTTCTCTGACTGGTATGCTTCCGTTTCTTCTTCCTCCTAAGTCTCTCTTCTTTTCTCCTACCGATGTTCACATCCTTGTAATGCCTTATAATCTATTAGCAAAACACTGAACAGAATACCGTGTCTGCACTAATGATTCTGAGTGTGGCCTGTTTCTGTTTATTGCTTCAGAGAATGAATGGTCCTTTAAGTGGTTCAAGAAGGCTCTACACATATATTTCAAAGTTTTGAAAAAGTAGGTTTTCAATGTTTATGCTACAAATATAAGTATGTGAAGTGATGGCTGTTATTAGCTTGATTGAATCATTTGACAATCTATACATACATCAAAACATCACACCATACTCAATAAATAAATATAAATCTTGGTCAATTAAAAATAAAATAAAGAGTACTGTAATCCAATTACCCTGGTCAGTAGTTACTTCTTGTTTAATAAATTAGAACATGGATACTAGAAAAGTTGGGTTCTGGTTAAAATAAGAATCAACAAATGGGCAAAAGATAACTTTCTTTCTCAACTGTAAAGTCCAGTTGGAGAATAAGAATTCAAAGTTTTCTATTTGGTCAACTCAAACCTGAGCCAAGACAGTGACTGGCAGGAAGTAGGGACTTGGCCGGACTCTCCAGAAGTACACTTCCTTGACCTCTGAGCTGTTTAGACTGATCTCTGCTCCGAAGAAGAAATGAGGTATGACCAGATTGAAGGAGACTGTGTGGGCGGAGTTGTGCGGCCTGAGCCCAGTCCCCTAGGATGGGACTGGTGACCTATTCTGATTCCTGAAGCTGATGAATCTTTCCAAGCTCCACAATAACAAGCTCAACTCCAAGCAACTCAGCTTTGGTCCTCTGCCCTTCCCCCGAGCCTCATTCACTCACTCCAGCCTTTTCTATGAGACTGTCCTGGCTTTCATCAAGGAAACATCAAGGACTTGCAATGGAGCCACCTCAGAGCAGAGCCCCTCCTCCCTTCCCAGAACTACAGCGGGGCTGCATGTATGATGGAAGACGTCCAGGCAGTATGTCTCCACCCTCTTTCTTAGTTCTGGTCTCTTCCCAGTAGGAAAGGTGAGACCAGATTGAGGGGCTGCCTTGGGTTCAAGAGGCGGAACTGGATAGAGGTAGCCTCAAAGGAAGCAGCACAAGGGGTCTGGCTCTGGTCTGTGGCTGGACAGTAATGATTCTAGAAGTGTCACTCTCCAGCCAAGTTCACCAAACAAGAAAGCAGCTAAGGTGAAGGGTCCATGTCACCCTCCAGCACCACATCCTAGAGCGTAGATACCATTATGCTTGTTTAATAGTAATATTTCTTCATAATAGTATTGTCTTCCTTACTTAGACTGTTAGCTCCTGAGGGCAGGAGTCTGGGCTCTTGTTTACTTCTGGCCCACTGCTGGGCCCAGTGACTGGAATACAGTAGACAGTCAAGAATTATCCATTGAATGAATGAATAAATGAAGCTGGATTATAAGCAGAGCCAGATATGAAGAGCCTTATCAAATGGTTTAACTTGCCCAAAGGGGCAATAGTCAGTGTGGTTTCTGGAACAGAACACTGCTTGACAGGAGGAAGGAGGAGGGGCTTAAGAACTTTTCATCTGGAGGCAATATGGTGGCCAAGGCTGCTGCGGCCACCTGCACCCACATCCTCAGAGCCAAGTAGCCAGTAAGTGCTCTGCGAATTAAGCATTTGCTTTGATTCACCTGTAAACCTGGCCCTGCACATTCAGGAGGAGAGAGAGAGAAGGAAGGAAGGAAGGAAGGTGCAGAGGGGAAAAAGGGAGGCCGTTAAGCAGGCCAGACCTAAAAGCACTGGATGCTTCCTACCCAGCCAAGTCTCAGGCTCCAGGCCTGTAGCATTTCCTCCTGTTCACCATGCTTGGAATTGCAATCTAAGACTAAATTGGGCCCACCTGTATAATTGGACACAGATCTGACCCAGAAGCAGAAGAGAAAGACTGGCAGAGAGACAGGAGGGAACCAGGAGGGTTGACCACTTGTGGTCAGCAAGGCCCTCATTTCCTTCCCATCTTCCTTCCTTCCTTCCTTCCTTCCTTCCTTCCTTCCTTCCTTCCTTCCTTCCTTCTTTCCTTCCTTCCTTCCTGGCTTGTTGTAAAGAACCTAGAACTTCAGCCAGGCATGATGACATACACTTGTAATCTGAGGTAGGGTGATTGGAAGTTTAACCCTAGCCTGGACTACATAGTAAGACCTTATCTCAAGACAAAACAAGCAAGCAAAAAGAACCTAAAATTTCAATAAAGAATGAATTTGAAAGAATGAACAAATGGTGTGGGTTATGCCATTTTCCTCCTTAAAGCTAGCAGTTTCTACATCTGCAAAATGAAAATGTCTGAGCAAACCTCATACAACCCACCCAGCTTCCCATTAAGGCCCTCAGACCTATCTCAGGCTGAGAAACAAGAAAACTGCTTTCATGTGGCTACTTCTCAAATATATTCAAATAGTACTAACTTGGCTAAGTAGGGATGCCAGTTTTTGCCCTAACATTCCTCCATAATCAATCATTTAAGCATCTTCATTTGTTTTGTGGTTTTCTTTATTTGGTTTTTGTTTTTTTGCAGTGCTGCAGATCAAACCTGTATGCTAGGCAAATGCTCTACCCCAAACCTGTTTTATCTCAGTTTTAAGAACATACATTCTACCCCATGTCCCTTTGCTATGAGACTCAGGAAAGATGCTTTCATTATGAATGAGGCAAAAAAGATACATAGCCAGTAGGGGATAAAAAAGGCTGCTCATCAATCTCAACTCTAACATTTCCCTGGTTCTAAATGTTTGTACTAAGAGAAATTAAGGAAAATTGGCAAATACTAGGTGGACTCTTTTTTTAAAAATATCATTTACCCTTTTTAGTATTAAGGCTTGGCTTTATACTTAAAAACACAAGTAGACTCTGTTTCCTCAAGCAGGCAGCCCAGTAGCCCAAAGAAAGAACTGGTAGCTTTTTAATGGGAATAGAGCCTATATTTCAATCAACAATGCAGACAACATCAATGCTAATCAATACTACACAATGAGAAGAGTGGGAACACTAAGGGAATCAGTGCTACAAGATTTGAGAAGAGAAAATATACTTTTGCCCTGGAAGCAACAGAGGCTTCCAGAATAGGGAGGAGCTGGGGGAGGGGGTGCTGAAAATTTGTATGGCCATCAATCACCTCTTACAGCAATAGGCGTGAGTTAAAGATGGCATAAAGCCTAAACGGAATGGCTTATAAACAACAGAAATTTACCTCTCACAGTTCTGGATGCTGGGAAGTACAAGATTAAGGTGCCAGCAGATTCATTGTCTGGATAGGGCCTATTTTCTGATATCTCCCTGTGTCCTTACATGGTGGAAAGAGGCAAGGCAGCTAGCTAAGGAATGTTTTTTGTTTTTTTTTTTAAGTTCATTCCTTTTTTTATTTTAAAGAGAATTTTTAAAAATAACAACAACACAGACAAAAACAAAACAAAGCAAAAACATAAAAAGATACACAGTTTCAAAACAAAATGATAGGAATTAACATTCAATGGTTGTTATATTATATATTATTATCCTCAACGAAGTTGCTCAGATTTTTATAAGATTCCCCTCAAGATCTAATTCCCTCAAGATCCAATCACCCTCCAAAAAAAAATTCCCTCCTAATTATATTTTATTTGGCATTAAGTTTCAATATATGAATTTTGAGGAGGGAACACAAACATTCAGATAATAGGAGGGGTTGTTATACAGGTCAAGACATTATGGCTAATTAAGAAGAAATATTACACCTGAATAACTAATGTTTCTGCTTTATTAAGCACGTGTCCAATAAAAATGATGCAAAACATGAATGACCAACACAGAAAAGACCTAGAGCCTATAAAAAGGCTCCAAATAGAAATTCAGGAGATTATAAATTGTATTGAAACTATGGGCAGCGGAAGTGGTCGATGTGAGGACAGATCCAGAGAACTAGAAGCTAGGGCTGTTGTCAGTGATA